GCAGGTGGAGTGATGGAGAGACTCATAAGGGAAAGATGGAGTGATGGAAGGACTCATAAGGGCAGATGGAGTGATGGAGGGACTCATAAGGGCAGGTGGAGTGATGGAGAGACTCATAAGGGCAGGTGGAGGGATGGAGGGACTCATAAGGGTAGGTGGAGGGATGGAGGGACTCATAAGGGCAGATGGAGGGACTCATAAGGGTAGGTGGAGGGATGGAGGGACTCATAAGGGCAGGTGGAGTGATGGAGGGACTCATAAGGGACAGATGGAGTGATGGAGGGACTCATAAGGGCAGGTGGAGTGATGGAGGGACTCAAAAGGGCCGATGGAGGGATGGAGGGACTCATAAGGGCAGATGGAGTGATGGAGGGACTCATAAGGGCCGGTGGAGTGATGGAGGGACTCATAAGGGGCAGATGGAGTGATTGAGGGTCTCATAAGGGCCAGTGGAGTGATGGAGGGACTCATAAGGGCCGGTGGAGTGATGGAGGGACTCATAAGGGGCAGATGGAGTGATGGAGGGACTCATAAGGGCCGGTGGAGTGATGGAAGGACTCTTAAGGGAAGGTGGAGTGATGGAGGGACTCATAAGGGACAGATGGAGTGATCGGGAGACTCATAAGGGACAGATGGAGTGATGGAGGGACTCATAAGGGGCAGATGGAGTGATGGAGGGACTCATAAGGAGCAGATGGAGTGATGGAGGGACTCATAAGGGCAGGTGGAGGGATGGAGGGACTCATAAGGGCAGATGAAGGGACTCATAAGGGCAGATGGAGGGACTCATAGGGGGCAGATGGATGGATGGAGTGATGGAGGGACTCATAACGGGCAGATGGAGGGATGGAGGGACTCATAAGGGGCAGATGGAGGGACTAATAAGGGCTGGATGGATGGATGGAGTGATGGAGGGTCTCATAAGGGCAGGTGGAGGGACGGAGGGACTCATAAGGGCAGATGGAGGGACGGAGGGACTCATAAGGGCAGATGGAGTGATGGAGGGTCTCATAAGGGGCAGATGGAGGGATGGAGGGACTCATAAGGGCAGATGGAGTGATGGAGGGACTCATAAGGGCAGGTGGAGAGATGGAGGGACTCATAAGGGCAGATGGATGGATGGAGGGACTTATAAGGGCAGATGGAGTGATGGAGGGACTCATGAGGGCAGATGGAGGGATGGAGGGACTCATAAGGGCAGGTGGAGAGATGGAGGGACTCATAAGGGCAGATGGATGGATGGAGTGATGGAGGGACTCATGAGGGCAGATGGAGGGATGGAGGGACTCATCCATGGCACCTTTTCCTGTAGTCAGCTCTGGGCTCCGCATTCTCAGTGCCCATGTAATACCCCTGAAAAGAAAAAGATAAAATAATAAATAAGCGCTTCAGTGATGGCTTCCTGGTCATCGAAGGAAGCACATCACGACCATAACTGTTGTTGGTCTCAAGTTCGGTGTCTGTTCCCACCAGAGGCGGATTGGTCATCGGGAAAAGAAGAGAAAGAAATGGGCAGTCATACTGAAAAGGGTTCTGTGGCAGCCAGAGGTGCAGATGAGGAAGGACCCAGCATGGACAGGACAGGTGCACGATTAGTGATATATTAGTGATTTATTATAGACGGAAATTGTTAATATTTGCATTTAAATATAGGCATTTATTACATGGCTTGGTAGAATTCTAATGTAGAATACTGTGAGTTTCTTGATAACAGACGCTGCTAAGTATAACCAGAGACTGGTATAGTATTGAGAATGAGGAGTTGACGTCATTGTACAGAGCCCTTTCCGCCATGTTGGTTGGATTCCCACGGCAAGACAGTATTGTTTACGTGTGTTTTTAGCTCGGTAGTAGAGGAGGTTCTCGCAATACCGCACTGTTTTACCATGCCTGGAAGTCACTGCTGCGTTAAAAACTCCTCCAGTAACTCACACGATACATATGGAAAACATAGGAACAATGGAATACAGTTTTTTAGGTTACCGAAATGGACACAGCAGCATCAGGGAGAGTCTCTGACCTGACGAAAAGACGTCGGATTGCTTGGTTTGCTTTATTTTTTTATTTTTTTATTTTTTGCTTGGTATTGCTTGGATTGCTTTAGCCTTTAGTATACGATTTTCACTGTTTGCTGTGCCTAAACGAACATACGCAAAAGTGTTGTTTGAGTGCCTTGTTCATTACTTCATTGAAATAAATGTTTGAAACAACTTGATATGGCTTAACAATATTTATTGAGAACTGAAATATATAGGCTATTGGACAACATAAGTTTCATGGACAACATAAGTAATGATAATAAAATAATAATATTGTTATTAGTGCAAAAGAACAAATATATTGATGCTGCTTCTCCAAATACAGCTGTTTTGCACTTTGTGTGAGTTTGTTCCTGTAAGGTCCCTTTTCTTTCGCCTTATCTTTTTTGCATTGCTTTACTTTCTTCCTTTTTGTCTCGTATTCTTAGACCCGTCTCTGTCCTGCCAAAATAATAAATGCGCGAAAATGTAAGAGCTCTGGAATGTTTAGTCGCGTCTATTGGTTCTAAAGGCGTTGCCCCTGGTAACTGATAGCGTCTCCTACCATCATGGCCGACCGCCCCAGACCCCGCCCAAATCGGCACGTGACTCCTCATTCTCAATAACACAGTGATAAATAATGGTAAACTGCGATGATAAACTGAGCGTTGCCATGGACGCAGTTCAGAGAGGGAACAGACTATTTTCTTTAGCAGAAGCAATACAGTCGGTTTTAAATCAATAAACTGCTTTTTTAAATCAATATTTTCTTACATTATTTGGTAGGTAGCCATCATGTAATAAGCGGGATCATGTATAGCGAATACAAACGCTTCAAAAACTAACAACCGCATTGCTATACATTATCCCTTACATATGTTATATTTTTATAGATATATTATATACTGACTACACACATGACATACTGTGACGTATGTGTTCGAGATTAGGTTTTGCTGACCTGGTTGTGTTTAGTGCAGTGGTTGCTTATACAACCTGAAGAGACAAGTGTCATCCTAAAATTTCTTGAATGTTTTCTGTGTAATCTGATTCTCTTTATACAATAAAAACAATATTAAAATTGAAATAACTGCAAAAAAAAAAAAAATCTTTGTGCTCGTGCACCAAGGTCACTCGCAAAAAAGGCCTCTCCATCTTAAAGTCCCAGGCAGAATTTTAGTCCCAGTTCGTCCCTGGTTCCCACCCAGCCAAAGCGTGATTGATTGAAGCAAGAACATGCTTCGATTGGTCAGCTCAATGTGGCTGTTATCTGATTGGCTTGAGTCAACGGTGGGTGGAGTCCACTATTTGTGGATTTTTCTGCACGTCGATTAGCCTGGCTAAAGCCTGTTTTATGCTTCTGCGTCGTATCGACGGCGTACCCCTGCAGACCCCTATCCGTCGACGCGAACCCCTCTCCGACCCCTCCGCCGCAGCTCGACGTGCACCTCCAAAAATTTGTAACTACGCGTCGAGGCGACGCAGACAGCAAGGGCTTTGATTGGTCAGATTATGCATAATTTCAGGAGTGTAGCTTTTCCGATTTCCCCATCCCGCTATTAGCGCTATTTTTAACATTTGCACTCTCGTTCTGATAATTATAATACTCTTATAAATAAAGTAAATAAAGAATTAATCTAAAAATAAACTGTTTTTTTTTTATTTCATTGTTAATATATATGTCTATATATATATTCTTTTCTTTCTTTTTTGCTCGCAATAAACTTCAATCAATCAATAAATCGACGTTTGTTTTGAAACACAGTTTGTTGTTTATTTTCAATACAATGTTCACGGTTACATCATTGATAATACAGTACTAACCAAGTCTGCCACGGGACACATTATATCCTGCCATAGCAGTTCTATGTGGAGACTGAAAAAATCCTTCAAGTCATTTCGAACAGGTATCGTTATGGCAGCTCGGGTGGACCTTTATTTTACTGTCTATGGGTGGAACGGGCCCTGGACATCCGTTTTGATTCTGTGGGGATAAAGTTTGTGTCGTCTTGTTATTCAACGTCGATTAGCTCCAGGTGGCAGCTGCTAAAACAACATTCTCTCTCTTTCGCTCGCGGCGCACGGAACCAAAGAGATTCGCGAACCCCCCTAGCGTTCTGGCGGCGAAATGCACCGCGAATCCGCGATGCATCACAACCTCACGCAGAAGCATAAAACGGCCACGACGCCGTAGCAGTGACGACGTAGCTACGCCGTGGAGTTGACGCAGAAGCATAATGAGGCCTTAACGCCAGACCACGTATCATTGAGAATGAGATGTGTCTGGGAACCACATGTTCATTTTCTCGTATTTGAAGCATGGTTTACGAATCCCCAGAGCCGTTTATTGGGTGCTACAAATGTCTATCAAATGCGCCTGTACGTAGCTCATTGTCTTGCTGCTCCCTCCCCGTTCTATGATTGGTTTCCTATCTGAGGCGAAAATCTGGTTCATGGTTTCCAGGCTGCCAAGCAGCGCGAATAAAATCACGCTGCGACAAGGCAGCATGGGGAACCCCAGGCTACACGTCAACGCTAGAAGTGTTTCAAAATCCACAGATGTATGAGGGGATTTACAAATGCACAGGAACCGATTCACAAATAAATGCCAGGTAGAGTATAGAGTTTGTGACATAAAACACATTTGTAAATATATCTAATTTTATTTATTTGTGAGTTTTATATTTTTTGGTGAAACTCTTTACATTTATTTGTGGATCTTAATCTATTTATTTGTGAATTTGATATATTTTTGTGAATCTCGTTACATTCATTTTTGGATCATAATCTATTTATTTGGAATGATGCAACAATTCTCACCCCATAATAGTGTATCATTACATATATTAATCAGATTTTTTTTTAAATTATAGGTTGAAATATGGTTATTGAAAACCAGTGCTTTATTTATTTGTGAAGAATCTGTGATATAATTTTTTTTTGTATTTAATGTGTGTATAACTGTTAATATTTTATTGACAGCAAAGGACTCACCATCGTGCTCTTGTGATTTAAGTGAGTGTTCTTCATTAATTTCAATGTCAGTAACACATAGCTTATTATATTCTTTCTGAACAATTGGTAAGCAATAAGGGATAATGTACATCATCAAGACTGTTATTATTTTAAGTTTAAATATTGTAGGCTAATAACTGGCAGTTATTCGGTAGAGCATGGGGGCTGATCGGAGCAAAACTATATAGTACGTTCACTATTCTTCAAAAAGAGCATCAGTAAGGCAAATCAGATGGCCTCAATATCGGCTTCTTTCTCAGTTTATTTTGACTGATTACTCAGATCCACGGGTGTAATTTCCTATGGGGACAATGATTATGATTTTTTAACCGCATGCCGTTATCACCACGGAAGAGCATCACATCACACCAAACTTACACACTTACTCAGATCAATCACTACAATCATCTCTTTCCATGACGGTGAGAAATTCATTTTTTACATAACGTAGTACATGAAACAAGCCCACCCGTCAGAGAGCTGTTTAATAGTTATTTGGATTTCATAGTTTACCATTATTTTGCCCATTATATTGGGATTATACTTTAGCACGGTAAAGTAAAAAAAAGGAATGTCATTGTTTAATTGATGTTAAACAGAGAATCTTGCTCTTGGAGCCCCAGCTGTCCAGTCTTCCACATTCAGTCAAAATCAAGCAATCGCTCAAAAGGCTGTCGATGGCAACAGGAATTCAAATATCAATCATGGGTCGTGCAGTGTGACTAAAAGGGTCAAGGACCCCTGGTGGAGAGTGGACCTTGGGGAAATCCATGAGGTATCCATGATTAGCATCACTAATCGTGGAGATGGTTCTGCTGGGAGGATAAATGGAGCTCAGATCCGTATCGGCAACAGCCTGGCAAATAATGGCAACAATAATGAGCTGTAAGTATCCCCTCTCTCTAAACACTCTTACATAACTGTATACTAAATTAGATAAGATTACTTTGAAAATGTAATTTTAATATAAAAACTTTGACAGTAGTATATTTGATATGCTTCATGCAGCTTTAAAATGTCTGTCTCTTTTATTTTATTTTATTTCACCTTTATTTAACCAGGAAAAGTCCCTTTGAGTTACAGTAACTCTTCTCACAGGGAGTCCTGGCCAAGACAGGCGGCCAAAAAGTTTCAAAAATAAGAATAAAAGACAGGACAAAAATGACATTTTACACCACAAATCTCTAAACATACACTAACAAAACATTTTTTTAACTTTATTTTTTATTCTTTTTCCTTCAAAACAAAACAAAAACAACAGAAACAAAAAACAGCATTGAAAAAAAAAATCATCAACAAACAATCGTTCAGGGCAATCGTTTGGTCACTAATATATTCTTACATAAAGCAAAATGTATGAGAGTATGTCAGATGCAAGGCCATAACCAGGGTCTGAAAATTAGTGAGGTCCGGGCTGTTGTGTAAAAAATTGTGCTATAATAATGGTTAGGCTATTGGACCCACATGGACATGAAGCAGCGAAGGAATTTGCCATATATATATATATATATATGGCAAATTCCTTCGCTGCTTCATGTCCATGTGGGTATATATATATATACTCAGGTTATTTTTTTTAATTATGTGTGGGGCAGTCTCTCAATGGGGGTCCGGGATTTTTTTTGAAAAATAAATGGCACTTTCTGGACAGTTTCAAGCAAAGAAATAAAGAATAAAATTAGGTCTTGCAAAGTCTTATATTTCTGTAATTCACACAGATCAAACACAAATATACTGGCTGAATAGATTGCTAGTTGAGAAGCACTCCTCTAATTATTGTAGTGAAACAGTAAAATAACACATAAACAAACCTATATGACTTTGTGAAACAGCATGAGCGGTCTTCCAGCTGACCAATAAGGTTATTTGGCAAATTTCATTCTGTAAACATACAGATTAGGCTATGTTATTGTTTTTGATAGTGTTATAGCCTCATTTCTTACAGATAATCACGATGATCATTGTGTTTGTCTTACTGAATGTGGTAGCTTTATGCAGTTGCATAAATTTATATTTATTGCACTTTGTCTATAAGCTTTTTTATTTATTTTTTTATTTTTTTAACGCCGACAGTAATGTTGCCAGATATTGCTACTAAAACAAGCAAAACAAAATAATAATAATAATCCGAAATTAGTTCAAAGCTTGTGTTTTGGAACCCTAACATGCAACTTTCCACTTTAATAACTTCCTAAAGTGTCATATTAAATCAGAAAAACAGGTCCAGGATATTACTGCACCTTTCCATTAGGTGGATCTGGCAACACGGAGGCTGCACTCGCGAGTCGCGCGCCCTCATTCACAACGCGCTCTCGAGCCCCGTTCACTGCGCTACCTTCTCGCAGCAACGAATTGCGAACACTCATATGAGGTAGTTTAAACACGGCTAATTAATCATTCAGAGAGCATGTCATTTTATTTTTGAATGTAAAAAAATGACCGAGGTCCAGACCCCGGTGACCTCATAGCTGGCTACGGCCCTGGTCAGATCCCAGACAGCAAACTGACATTGAATCAACGTGGAAACGACGTCTCTCATGACATTGAAACAACGTTGGTTTTGCTCATCGAATTAACGTTGAACCAACGTCAGACGCGGCATTCTTCAAAGCTAAATGAAAATCGAAAATTGGTTTGCTTTCATAACGTTGAAACAACGTTGGTTTTAAGTTGATTTTCCGTTAGTTTTGAAAGAATGACGCATCTGATGTTGGTTCAACGTTAATTCGATGAGCAAAACAATGTCAGATCAACGTTGTTTCGATGTCATGTTTCCACGTTGATTCAATGTCAGTTTGCTATCTGGGATGGTACATTGCACTGGTCAATAAACATGCCATGAAGTCGTAAACACAATCCATTTTTCCCAATACTGCAAATATTTATCCAAATGTAAGTTTAAAGCAAAAGTCATCCTCTCCATATTCTGGACATTGGTCATAATGTCCAGCCACTCAGCCTTTGTTGGGGGATCAAATTGTAGCCACTTTCGTGTTACAGCTTTCTTGCTGGTTGCTAACCCTTGTGAAAAAAAAGTGCACTTTAGTGTACTTTTATAAAGTGTACTTATTACAAAAATAATACACTTTAAATGAATACACTTAAGTGCGATTTAAAAAAAAAATTTTCGGGGCACTGAATGCGTAATTTATTTCAAATATATCACATATTAAGTTGAAATAAAGTGTAATAAGTTGCCATTAAGAGTGATTTTTTGGAACAATTAATTGGTACTTTAATACAACTTTACATACACTCTCACAATTGCTTCCAGTGTATTTAAAATACAGTTAAAGTGCACTACACAATATAATGACGCAATTAATGTGAACTAAAATATACTTTAATGTCAGTCAACAATACACTTAAGTGTGAATTAAGTGTTAATGTTTTTGACAAACTTAATGCACATTATATGTAATTGATTTCAAATGTGTCACAGATTAAGCTCAAATGAAATGCTATTAGTTGATATTAAGAGTGATTTTTGAAATATGGTAAAAGTGTACTTCCAAATATACTGACAAGCAAATAATGTCAACAAAAATATACTTTAATTATATAATAGTGTACTTGTTTATTACATTAAATCCATTTTTTTCATTAAAAAAAAATATATAGTTGCAATTTATTTCAAATTTGGACAAAAAAAGTCTTAATAACCTATAAAGTTACAATCAAGACAAATTCAATTTAAAACCCTCTATATTTACTGACAAAACAATCTCTAAATACATAAAAACCTTTCTGAAAAAACCCAAGAAACAAACGGTTACAACACTTAAAATGAAAATTCTGTCATTATATACGCACCTTTAAGTTGTTTCAAACCTGTATGAATTTTTCTTCTGCTGAACACAATGAAGATATTTTGAAAAATGTCAGTAACCAAATAGTTAACTGGTCCCATTGACTTCCATGGTATTTTGTTTCCTACTATGGAAGTGAATGGGACCAGTTAACTATTTGGTTACTGACATTTTTCAAAATATCTTCGTTGTGTTCAACAGAAGAAAGAAAGGTAACACTTAACTGCACACTATTATTCATTATAAGCATGAGTTAACAGTTAATCATTTATAAAACATTAATAGACATTAATAATAAGTTTCTAAATACAGCAATAAATGTTTTTTTCTTGATTTATAAGCATATCTATAATGTGTTTAATAATTGTATTTTCAAACTTTGTTAATGATCAATTAATAATTTCTTAATGAAGTATAGCATTATTTACAAACCAGTTATTTAAGTGTTGTCAGTGATTCATAAGATCACTTAAATGTAAGTTGAGGGTGAGTATATGGCGACAGAATTTTAGACATTTTCAGAAAACATAATTCTGTATGATTTATAAGATTGTTTCCATGTAAATTACTGGTATTACTATACTTTTGGGGTAATTTGGTCTCCATAACCTAGGGATTACCAGTAAACATCATTTAAGAAGCAAACACACATTACATCAAATACACGACCCATGAATTAATACAAACAAAATGTGATGTTATACTGCAAAATGTGAACACTAAGATTCAAACGGGTAATGAAAAAGGTATTATTAGTTAACTCCTTCAGTTAACATGAACTAAGAATGAATAATACTTGAAGCATTTGTTAGCCTTAGTTAATGTTAATTTCAACATTTAATAATGCATTATTATATTCAAAAGTTGTGTACTAAAATTATAATGCACTGTGAACTTGTATGAACAACAACTATAAATTGTTCTAACTTTAACAAACTATATTTGAATTAACTAATCTTATAAAAGATAAATAAATACTGTAAAAAATGCTAATTTTTAGATCATGTTTTGCTAATACATAAACTAATATTAACAAATGAGACCTAATTAAAGTGTTAACAAACCTGGTTAATTTTAGCTCTTAAACCTTTTCGTAGCACCAACATTAAATCTTTATTTTATTATGTTATTGGTAATATAATGGAGAGTGAGTTTGTACAAGTCAAGTCAAGTCAAGTCACATTTATTTATATAGCGCTTTTCACAATACAGATTGTATCAAAGCAGCTTCACAGTGATAACATGTAAGTAGCACAACACAGATCAACAACATTGCTAAACACTAAATAAATAACCCCAACTGAGCAAGCTCAAAGCAAGCCAAAAGCAAGGCGACAGTGGCAAGGAACCAAAACTCCATCAGATTGGATGGAGAAAAAACCTTGGGAGAACCCAGGCTCAGTCGGGGGCCAGTTCTCCTCTGGCTTACATTCATATTGTTTAAATATAAATATTAAATATAAATATTGTTTATGAATCAAACGGCGCCATAACATATCGCAGGCGTTGAGTCGTCTCATCACAGGCGTTGAGTCGTCTCATCACAGGCGTTGGGGCATCCGAAATCCCCGTGAGAGGCTGGACACAAAACTGGACCTGACGAACGCCATTTTTCTCGGGACAAGCGTCCCGAGATAACAGCAGAAAGGCAGATGGGAAATAATTAGCATAGCTGATGTTCATAATAATTTCCGTTATAACTCACAAACTCTCCGTAACCCGAACTCTCCGCAACCCAACCATACGCGCCGACCCGTTTGTCTAAAAGGCTGTCGAGCCCCACTGGTGCGTTAAGCAGTTTCAGTGGCAAACGGTTCCGTATGGCATAACAGAGGACTAGAAGGTAAGCATTATGTGAATGCTTGACTAAAGAGATGCGTCTTTAATCTAGTTTTGAACTGTGTCAGCGAGTCAGAGGCTCGGACCGTATCGGGAAGGCCATTCCAGAGTTTTGGAGCTAAGTCGTTAATGCGAGCTTTTGTATTTCCTTTGTTCAGCTTTTACAGTGATTTGTGAGGTGATTATTGAGATAATTATTGGAGTGAAACGGACTCAACAAACTTCATCAACATCAGT